AGGCTGGTGGTCCTGAGGTTCTATAAGAAAGCAGACTGAGCAAGCCAGAGGAAGCAAGCCAGTAAGCAGCACCTCTCCATGGCCTCTGCATCAGCTCTGCCTATAAGTATCTGCCATGCTTGAGTTCCTGCCTTGAGTTCCCTCAAAGGACTGTGATGTGAAAGTCAAATAAAGCCCTTTCTCCTTAAGTTGCTTTAATTGTGTTTCACTATAGCAACAGAAACATTAACTAAGACACAGATCTTCCAAATAATTCTGAGAATTGGTCTTGACACACCAGGGTGATGCCTCTCCTACATGAGAGGGCTTCGGGCATGTGTCAGTATTTGTGAAGCCAGTTTACAGATGTCTGTCTAAGCCTTCTATTAGCCTATGGAGTTAGTGGGTCATCATGGGAAAGCAGACACTTCCACCAAATTCTCATGTGACTCTGAAGCTGTTAATACTTTGAGCTCTACTGCCAGGGGCATCTTTATGTAACCCAGCACCTTCTCTTGCTTGCTAACTGTGGTGGTTTCAATGTGTTTAACCTAGGGAGTGGCACTATTGGGAGGTATGGCCTTGTTGGAGAAAATGTGTCACTGTGGGAGTGGGCTTTGAGACCTTCCTCCTAGCCACATGGAAGTTAGTCTGCTCCTAGGTTCCTTTGGGTGACTATATAGAACTCTCAGCTCTCCCAGCTCCCTGCCTGCCTGGATGCTGCCTTGCTCCTGCTTGGATGAAAATGGACTGAACCTCTGAACCTGTAAACTGGCCCCAAATAAATATTCTTTATAAAAATTACCATGGTCATGGTGTCTGTGCACAGCAGTAAAACCCTGACATTACATATTAGCCCCAGGAGAATCAAGAACATTGTCCAATAATCTCTGTTTCGTGGTTGAGAAAGAGACTTCTCAAGGAGAAAAGGTGAGTGAGGAAAAGGGGGTGGGACTTTTAAAAGTAGCAACAGTGAAATGCCTCAGCACCTAAAGGCACTTACCTTAGAGCCTAACACCCAGAGTTCAAGGCTTAGAACACACATGGTGGGAGGAGGAAACCAACCCTTAGAAGTTGTATTCTGATCTCTGCAGGGGGGCTATGAATACATGTATGAAACATGTATTCCCTCTTCTCCACACACAATAAAATAAAGGTAGTATGATTTTTTTTCTTTTAGGAAAAGGAGAAACAGCAAAATTTTATTTCTAGTCCTGTTAGCATAAGCAAGAGCCACCATTGTTCCAGATCACAGAGCAAATTCTACAGTATGGCCAGGAATATTGTCGGTTCTATTAGCACATGGTAGAACTACAAGCTCTGTCTTAGTCCATGCCATTAGGTCAATCGAGGGAGGTTCTGCTCCTTAATTTAAAATCTAAACTTCTCAGAAAGAAGGACTCATTCTACATCCATTTCCAAGAAGCCAACAAAGCAAAACAGGCTCACACTTTCTGCTTTCTGATTTCTTAGTGTTTTTTCTTTTACGTCTACTTGCCTTCTAAAATCAGTAAATCCAATACTGAGAGAAGAAAGACCTGCTGAACATGCACTTATAATCCAGGCAGTCTGGAGGCTGAGGCTACCCTGGGATACAGAGGGTGTTGCTATCTGGAACACAAAACCAAACAAAGAAACCACCTGGATTTCAGCAGAAGAATTCAACTGATGACTCAAAGGCACAGATCCAAGTTTTGAGAAAACTGAGCTAAACTGCTTAGTAATCTCACAGAATGCTAACCATAAAATCGTATCCATCCACACATCCACCTGTTCACTCATCCATCTGTTAATCCAACTCCCACCAACCCATCTATCCTCAGTTCTTTTACCCACCTACCCATCTTCATATCCACTCATCCACCATCCACCCACCCACTCATCCATCCACCTACTCATCCATCTATTCAGTCACCCATCAGCCACCTACCCATCTATCCACCCACCACCAATGCATCCACCCACCTACCCATCTATTCACTCACCTACCCATCCACCCACTTACCTATCTACCCACCCATTCTCCCATCAATAAATCTACCCTCCTACCAATTTAACACCTAACATCCATGCACCCATCAGTTTACCTGCCTACCCATCCTCCTATCAACCTATCTAGCCATTCATCTACCTACATACCCATCTAACAATCAAAAAGAAAGAAAGAAAGAGAGAAAAGAGAAAAGAAAAGAAAGGAAAAGAAAGGAAAAACCAGTGGGAGAATACTGAAATAAAGTAACAAATTGGGTACAACTATGATAACTTTTGTTTCAGAAAAACAAAACAAAACAAAAACAAAACACCCTTGTATAGGAATTTGAACAGTGGCGTTTAATTTGGATAATAGTCTGGGGTTGAAGGTCAGGGAAGAATTCTGAAGAAAAATGGGCCAGTCAATACTTAACAGCTGAGTAGGCAGAAGGCAGCAGAATGGCTATAGACAAGGTGGTCAGTCAAGAAAGGTAGCCTTGCTCAGGGCATGTGTCAGGAAGAACCATGACCAGGAGTGTGAACCAAGCCAGATATGACATTGGGGGTTGGGGATTGGTGGTTGAGGAATTAAATCACTCAGGCAATGCTAAAGACTCTGTTGTGCCCAGATTTGAATTTGTAAGGGGTCCCTGTGGTTTCTATATGCAGAATACACCAGAGGAGAAAGCTGGTGAATTTAGAACAGGGAGAATAATCAAGGGAAAATACCCAGCCTTTTAGGGTTCCTGCAGAGATGTAACTGTGTGTAGTTCTTGCATGACTCCATCTGCCACGGATGCAGTTTTGATCTGATGACTTTAACTCCACCCTTTGTAGACATCTAGGCTTCCTTCCCTTTAGGCAAACTCAAACTCTACAGCAGGGATTGCCATGTAAGATGAGAAAGTAGCCCCGACTGCATGCCTCCAGCTACTGCTCAAGTTCATGTTTAGCCCTAACCCATAGTAGTTAAGAAGGTAAAATGTATTTGGAGACAGGTGATTACATTAAAAATGGGCCTTTAGCCACCATGACCTGTGTCTGTAGAAGATTCCGCTCCGAGTGCTAAAACTATTGAGCTGAACTATTCAAGGACATCATAGAATGGAAATACTGAAACCCACCACTCTCCACCACCCACCCATCCACCCAACAATGAACAAACAAAACAAACATGCAAGCTGAGGGCAACAGCGGAAGACGACAGAAAGGACAGACATTCCATTCAGAAAAAAGAGCTGTGGAAAAGGAGAAAGATAGCCAACTACAAACCCCAGAGAAGACATAAGAAAGCAACCACAAGATATCTTGATCACTGGCTTTTAGCTTCAAGAATGAGAAAACAAAATTTTTATTTAAGCCAGAATGCTTGCTGTTGTCATAGCATTATTAGGAAACCATCACATGGTGGATTAAGAACAAAAATCTAACCCCAAACCATATCCCAGGATACATCATAGAAAATATGTTCCCTTGATGAATTTAAAATGTACTTATTCCTCAGCAGAACTGTCAATAAAAGAGAGATTCATGTATCAGAGAGATTTTGGAGGGTAAGGGCTGGGGTAAAAATCAAAAGAGTTCAAGGGAATGCACTGAACATGTAAAACAAACTTAGCTGTCTTTCTGTGAAACCTGCATTGCTCAGGCCTCTGACTGCAGGTGGTGTGCTCTCAACATGGCGGCAGCTCATAGACACAGGAGGTCGCATGCACTCTTCCCATCTAGCCAGTAGAAAGTGGCTATGATCAGTGTTTCAAAAGCCTGACTCCTTTACACAGTGGAGAGCTGCAAGGTTTCCTCCACTCTGTTTTTTTTATTCTATTCGCCAAGCATGCACCATTCACACATCTCCTGGTCTACCTCACATAAAATATTCTGGAACGCAAAAATAATTTTATGATGAGGTACATGACCTCAAGAAATTGAAGCTTGAGGATAGGGCACATATGAGTTTCGCTGTGCATCTCCGGTTTAACCACTGGTCTACACTGTCCTCACTCCCACATGACCCAGTATCTCTTTCTGTGCACACTGTGGAGCCATGGAGACTTGGTTTCGTTTTCCAGTATCTTATCGCTAAGTCCCTTCTTTAGCTTTGAGGTCTCTTTGGCTTTGTCTTCCCATGAAAGCACAACAGGTATAGTCCTCTAATGTTATTTTAGAAGGAGACTTTCTTTTGTATACATTCCCTTAAAGTTAAAACGGCTTTTTCTTTTCTGGTGATAAGAGAGAAAAAAAATGTATTTTCCTGTTCTACCTAAAATATCAAAACCACACAGCCAGTGCTTCCTAGATGCAAACACCTTGTTGACCCCTGTTCTATTTCCACTCACCCTGGGACTTCCCCATAACTGCTGCGCTCTGAATCCTCCCCCACTACCTCCCTGCCCACTTCCCTCTGCTCGTCAGTATCCTTTCTCTCCATCAGAAACTCACATGCAAACCACAGACATACTTTGCTCACTGCGAAGGTGCATATTTTGTCCTTGCCTTTTGCCTTTTTGAAACGTATCTCATGAGGACTGTGCTGTGCATTCGATGCTTGCTATGTAACTAACGATGACCTTGAACTTCTCATCCTCCTGCCTCCACCTCCCAGCACTGAAATTATGAGTGTGACACCATGTCTGCTTTACCCAAGTCTTCCTGCATGCTAGGCAAGCAGTCTACCACAAGAGCTTTGTCCTCACTCCCAATATACACGGGCTCTTTTGATTCAGGTTATTGACTAAAACTGGCTTTCTCTGATTTGGTTGTTTTGCGAATATAGACAGGACTGAATATTAAGCGTTCATATTATCATGACCATAGACCTATACAGTCTAGGTACATGTTTTAGACAGCACAGTGTATTTATAATTTCATAAGTTTTTCTTTAGCTTAAAATAAACCTACTGAAAGATGAAAGGTTTGATAAGATATCTGTATTTTATTTTATTTTGCATATTCTATCATTTTGGGCCCTAGATATTACAGAGGAGTAGGGTTGAAAAGAAACAGTAAGGAAAGACAGGTTCCACATGGGTTCCTTACAGAGAAAGAATTACCTGGCAAAGCCAACGCCTCTGCTGACTCCGTTAGCATCTCTCAGGATTCTGGTGGATATCACATGTCCAAAGGGCTTTAGCATGTTCTCCAGCTCCTGTTCATCCATGGAGATGGGGAGGTTTGAGATGTATAGATTCGTAGGGTCTTGCTCTTGTTGCTAGGGGAAGAAAAAGAAACAATTGCAGTGAGATCTATGGACAAGCATTGCACTTGAATTGCAAAGTCCAGTCTAACATCCTCCTCCGTCCTCATAGGCCAGTACTTTCCAGGCTGACTCCAAATGGCTTAGATAGTCCAGGGTGACTGTCCTGGTTAGCGTTACTGTTGATATGATGAAACACCATGACCAAAACATCTTGGGGATGAAAGAGTTTATTTCAGGTTACACTTCTGGTAACAGCCAATCGCTATAAGAAATCATGACAGGAACCTGGAGGCAGGAGCTGACGCAGACTTCATACAAGGGTGTTGCTTACTGGCTTGCTCCTCAATGGCTTGCTCAGCCTGCTTTCTTATAGAACCTAGCATCATCAGCCCAGGCACAGAACCACCCACAATGGGCTAGGTCCTCCCCCATCAATTACTAATTAAGAAAATGTCCTACAGGTTTACCTACAGATCAATCTAATGGAGGCATTTTCTCTATTGAGGCTGTTCCTCTTCTACTGTGACTCTAGCTAGTAATTAGTTGACATAAAGCTAGTCCTCACAGTGGCTTAGAACTCATGATCCTCCTGCTCCAACCTCCCAAGTGCTGGGAAAACAGGTATGCATACGAGGACAGGTGTGCATCACCTCATCTGGCCACCAAGGACCTGTGCACTTCACCCTATCTGGCCACTCTCATACTCTAAGAAACCTTTCTCATAAAAAAAAAATAATGCCATCAACGAAACCCAAGCACTCTGTCTACCCTTCTTTGTAAAGATACATACAAGCTTATGTTGCAGTTGAACTCAGGTGAGCACATGTAAAATCATACTTTATCCATGAGGCGTCCAGCAGTGACACCTCAAATTTCAGAGGGCTGGCATGGAACCCTGTGATTCCATCATCCCCATCTTTGTTAAGAGCTTGCTACGTGCTACTCGTGTCTTTTCCAGACTGAGTTGTGACAGCAACACTTGCATGGATTTGTCTCTCCTCATAGCTTCATGGGCAGGAGTCGAATTGTTACTACAGATCTGGGCTATCCTGTTCACATTCTCAACTGAAGGAAACACTTCGTAGCTTCTCTCGGGGTGTGGCTTCCTATGGTCGACATCACTACATGTGCACTTTGAGATTACAGGTACTGAACTAACGGTTCTGAGCAAGCACTGCGTAAGTGCAACAGCAGATCTTAACAGACTGCCCCTGAATATTTGTAGCATGTATGACGTAGATCCACAAGACAAAAGACTCATTTACAACCACAGGGGGACAGAAGAGGGCAGGGCAAGCATTTACTGTACATTCAGAATGGTGGCAATGCACAATTAGCATTGCGTATTATTTCTGGGATTTTCTACTTGCTATTTTCAGATTGTGGTTTACTACAGCTAACTGAAGTCCAAGGAGGCCAACTAATCACTGGACAGCAGTTCTACTAGCTTCTGCTCTTGCTGTACCACTCCAGGTGCACCACTCTGATCACTAATGCTGTATTTGTTAAGCCATCCTTCTAGGTTCTTACCATGCATTTTTCATTCATTATTCCTATACAATATAACTCTCACTGTATAGAGGGCACATTCAATCGCTCTGTCCATACAATACAGCTGACAAGTGTGAGAGGCAGGGCAGGGTCCCTAGACCATTGTTGAGGCCACAAGCCTTATTACTCTTTGATGCTGCCTCCCAGGAGACCAGTGAGTACTATGTCATAACTGAGATATTCAGTATCAATATTACCTGTGGCCAGGAATGGGGTGCCCACCTATAATCCCAACTTAGGAGACAGAGGCATGAGAGTTAGGAGTTCTCAGCTGGCCTCAGTTACATAGTAATTCTGAAGGCTATCTGGGAATCATGGGAGTCTCTCCCAAAATAAATAACGTAAAAATAAAAAAAAAAATTTTTACCTGAAACTTGTTAGAAATACAAATTCTCAGGGTCACCTTGAAATACTGATCATACACTCCAAGTGCAAGCTGATTTTGACAAGCCTTCCAAATGATTTTCATAATGGCATCAATTTGAGAGTTGCTATCTCAGACCAGGCAGGAATACTTATATGCAAATGAGCTCATTATGTCCAATATTTCATTGAGTGTTAACACTGCTTATGGATGGAAGCTTTGTTTAGTAGTATAGGAAAGAAAACTTCAACTGCTAGCATTCTCTGTATGTGTGTACATTTTATAATTCACATATGGAATAATAAATGAAAACATAGTTACATGTATGTTGAAACAGTAGTATTGTCATAAGAAAACAATGGTCAGAATGGCATGATTAATTACAAATATCAAAATAAGTTAGATATTTAATTAAAACACTATATTTTAGCCAAAAATCTCACCACCACCAGCACCACCACCAACAAAAAACTTAGCTTCAAGAATAAACAAGAATAAACTCTCAAAAGAAATCCAGACATCTTCAAGAATAACCAGATGTATGGTTTTAAAAGCAATGAAGCGACTATAATTATGAAATTCCAAATATTTTAGGTCAAGAGATAATTTTGATATAAAACAAAATTGCATTATTTTTAACAATTTATGCAGATAGGTATAGCTAGTCTTTTGTGTCTTTGTGGGTTCTTTCTTCCAATCTTCTCCACCTCTTTCCTTCCCCCCTTTCAAGACCCTAACTCTAGATAAGAGAGAAAAAGGATTGAGGGGTGTGGTGGTCTCAATAGGTTTGGTCCCCATAGACTTATGTATTTTAATGCTTGGCCAGTACAGAGTGACACTATTAGGAGGTGTGGCCTCATCAGAGCATGTGAGGCGTTGTTGGAGGAAGTGTGTCACTGTGGAGGCCGGCTTTGAAGTCTAACATATACTTAATCTCCTGCCACTACAGAAGATAGTGTCTTCATTACTGCCTGCAGATGAAGATCTAGAACTCTCATCTCCTCCAGTGCCATGCCTGCCTGGATGCTGCCATGCTTCCTGCCATTATGATCATGGACTAAACCTCTGAAACTGTAAGCAAGTCCCAATTAAATGTCATTAAAAGTTGCCTTGGTCCTGACATCTCTTCACAGCAATGAAACCTTAACTAAGACAAAGGGGGAAGGGAGGACAATGTTATCTTTAGACTACTTCCTGCTGATTAGGGGCCTTAGTTTCCTCGAGGCAAGTTTGATCTTCCTTGTCATGATATCTAATTTCTTTTTCTTCTTGTTTCTTCTTTGCTCATGGCTATTTCACAAAGTGAGACCAACAACCAACCAACAAACAAACAACCAGAACCAATAACCATCAACAACCAACAACCAACAGCAACCAACCACTTATCTACTCTGTCTCTTTGGGCCCTGGCATTTATATTCTCTCGGAAAAGTCCCCAGAATTCCAAACGTCAAGCAATCACAGAAGCTATCTGCAGCTGGCAAAATTCCATTTCTGCCAGAGCATGAGAGAAGTCATATTCAGCTGCTGTGGACAAGCTGCTGCAGGCCCATATCCTACACCTGGGATTAAAATGAAACCAGAGCCCTATTTCTGTGTTTCTTTTAAAAAAAAATAAAATTCTCACTACAGATATGTCACAGTATTTTTATTAATTCTTGAGATGCATAAGACTTTGTCATAGAGAGATAACTCAGTGGTTAAGAATGCTTGTTCCTCTTCTAGAGGCCCTGGGTTCAGTTCCCAGAAAAAAAAAGTACCTCACAACCATCAATTCTAGAGGATTTGATTTCCTTTTCTGTACTTGCTTGCACACATGTGGTAAACATACATACATTCACGCATGGTATACATACATACATGTACATGTGGTACAATATATGCACGCAGGAAAAAATACTTATACACTTCAAATTTAAAAATCAATAAAATATCTAAAGAAAATGCCATTGAGCTGGTTATTTAAACATGAATTATTTTTAAAATTTTTTTTTATTTCCAGGAAAATAGCAAGAATGAGCACATCTCTCTGGAAAGGGCCACAGCTTTAATTTGGGAATGGTGTTTATGTGAAGAATGTACAACTGAAACCCTTGTTTCATCTCCTCTCCTCTCTCTTTCATATGTACACACACAAACAAATGAACACACACATATACACACATGCACAAACACATGAACAAACACACACAAAATGTATTATCACCAACAAATGTCAAATGATATGATCGTAATAGGAAATTGAGATTATTTTTCTATTAACTGGCTTAAGGTCTCTCTCTGTCTCTCTGTCTCTCTGTCTCTCTGTCTCTCTCTCTCTCTCTCTCTCTGTCTCTCTCTCTCTCTGTCTCTCTCTCTCTCTCTCTCTCTCTCTCTCTCTCTCTCTGTGTGTGTGTGTGTGTGTGTATGTGTGTGTGTGTGTGTGTGTCTTTCTCCTTTTCTGATGCTTTGGATACATAGTAATGAGCCTTGTGCACATAAAACCTTCAACCTTTACAGCGTTTTTACTATCCATCACTTAATTTTAATCTTCCCATCATAACTGTAAAGGTATTTTGGCAAATATCATCATTTGTATTGGATAATGAGGAAAGAGAGCCATGAAAGATTCATCATCCTGCCCAAGGACAATCTGATAATTAGTGGCAGAGTTAGAATTAGACTTAGAACCAGCTCAGTGCATTTTCAACCAGCTCAGTGTTCCCCAAGTTTCAATTATTTGCATATCAGCTCTTGGATTATTGTTATTATTACTATTATTATTATTATTTTTGCCTGCCATGTACAATTTATTTAAAAATTAAAATTAGTTTCTCTAAAGTTAACATGCTTTTAGGACTTAAATAATTTTAAAAACATGACTTTATGTTATGACTGTTCCAGAAGAGCCAAAGTCTCCTGCCATAAATAGAAAGTCACTCTCAGAACAGTGGCCAGATTAAGGAACTAATGGTATTTGTTTGTGGCAGACTTGCACATTTCTAGTTGACTCTGATTCCAATGGGATGCTCAAGGAGGAGAGGTGAGAGGCACATTAACATCTTTGTTTTAAACTAGGAAGAGTCAGTTCTGACAGAGAACTGAAAAAAGAAACAAA